TGTGAAAAGCTGACGATTGTTTTGGACCTTTCGATACGGTACTGCATCCGAAATCTTGTGTGTGATTCTATTTTTGCTCTTTAGATAACCACCTGCATCTACGCGGAATTGAAGACATAATCTACAAAAAGACGGTATGAAATAGGTACAAACTTTACTTGAGAAATAATTTCGAGCATGTGCCATTCCTGACAATAAAATAAACTAACATATTTCTGTCATACAGATATCTTGGAATTATTCTAGTTGAAAAACATGTAAAACAAAACTCTTGTAAACTGCAGGCAGTAGAAATACAGCTTAGTTTATACATTTTTAAAACATATTAATGAATTAAAAACGTAATTGAATCAGAACACTTATATACGATAAGAAAAAATGAAGACAACAATATTTACGCTTGTCCATCTTGAAGATCAAATTTAGAAGAGGTAACGGTGATATCCGAGTCGAAATGTGTCTGAGAACAATTTACGCTGGAAGAGTTGTCCACTAAACGGTTGATACGACTTTCAACAGAACGCCTTCCTAGTAATAATAAGTAATCAAACCATCAGTTTCAACATGAATCATTTATTTTTGTATTCAAATTCATATTTTAAACTGCAATTGAGAATATTTAGCCGTTTCTGCATATAGTGTCACCGTTTAATTGATGTTGACATCAAATTGTAGTCCTTTACACTTCGTCTTGATCAATTCAACGGCAGTAAAGAACACATTGCCATTAAGCATTCATTTTTGGTATAACAAATTACATAATTATAATTTAAATGAAAATCCTGAATAAATGTATGTAATGTAGAGTTTATTATCTTTAGTCATAATATGCTAATTTAAAACATACCTCAGATAACAGTATATAGCAGTTTCTTATTTTGAAAGAAATTCTTACCATCCACAAGGATCTTGACGATATCTATCGAAAAGTCTGTAATACCAAACTTTGATTCGCTGATATAATCTGGTTTCTTAAAGGCTGTAATGTTGAGTGTATATTCCGCTGCGACATTAAATTTGAATGACGACGGCTGGAAATTACCATACATATCAGCAAGATATTGACACTCAGTAGAACTTGTGCTGCTTCTAGCCTGTTTCTTTTCCATATTCGGGCCCACTACAACTGTTCCACATGTTAAAATTGATGGTAGTTTTTTTGGCTGACAAGACGTTTCTCCGCTTTGCTGTATAATTTTGAAATCTTGCGCGCAAGTGCATCCTCTTGTAAGATCTTCACCACATTTCCCGGGCCAACAGTAGTGATTGTTCCAAGAGCACAAACCTGTTCGATCAAAACAGACATCTTAACAGTTATATTCATCAAAGGGTCTCGTACAAGAATTTTCTAATTTTTCTTCCAATTCTATTCTGTTAAGTTTGGAACCAAAAACTAAAAAATTTCGCTACTGTAGATTCATATGATATAATTATAGTTTTCAATTATCAGACAACGATAATTAGCCAGAGTAATTATCGCCTCTAATGCAAACTTATCTACTCTGTTTAATTCTTTGTGGCATGACCTTTTGCCACAGATATACCATATATGTTACTTTTTTGTTTTATGTTTGAACAAATTGTCTATGAGCTTTACCCTGTTATAAAGATGTCGTATGAATATCAGATAAGCACTTAATAAAATAAACCATATTCATAGAGCGGATGTTTTGAAATATTTTGCATAGCGACCTTATTTTGACAGACAAATTTGGTAGTTATAATCAAATACTAAACATATTTTGTTATCCAGTTGATATATAAAATAACATACGTTCACATTTTGTGTCCCAAAATGTTTTCTTGAAGAATGTTTTATCGTCATAACACTCTAGACACTTAGTGTCAGATGATGATGTGCATTTTCTTCTTTTACAGTTATCAATTTGTGGACAAGCTGAAAAATACTTTATGTTTAAAAAATTGAAACATGATTATTTCGCATACGTGACAGTATGTTTATATTCATAACATCTTCATTTTTGCTCATAATTTAGTTTGTAATCGGAATTGAGTCAGCATATTAGTTCAGGAGAGTTAACATTTACCTGTTCATTTATCCGTAACCATATTCGGGTATAAGATTTGGAAATATGGCATACCAGTAGAAAATCTCTTTTTTTTAAATCTTTTTTGTAGCACAATCATTTGTAATAATAGCCGAACTATAATAGCGTATCGCTAATATTTTGTAGTCAATGGTACATATGTTTAATTAATTTCTCTAACTAATCTAAATGATTGCTTCATCCAGTACCAGTCGCGAAAGTTCTTGTGTTGTTTTAAAAAGTCATCTCAAACAATGAACACAAGTGATTATTTGATTGGTAGCACTGAACAGGGTCTCAAGTAGTCTTAAAATTTCAAAGTTTAAATTGGGAAATTAGGGAAGAAGTTTTAATAATAAATAATTCTATAATTCACCATGTAAATAAGACATTTATAGTAAAAAAACTGTTTTGGCTCAAGGTTAGATCTTATTAAAACAACATGTTTACAATCCGCTGATTAAATAAAGATTATTGCGAGAATTATACGTGTTTATTGAAATATTAAGTTACACTGGAGGCGATCGTTTATTCAGCATTCGTCGTCAGTCTATCATAAACAGACACACATAATTGAGTCAACTAATGTTAGCGCCCAGTGGATACCTCACCTCTTAACTGATGACCGCGTACAAATTGCATCACAGCATGTATGAAATCGTGAAACATGGATCTTAATTAACCAAAGGGTGAGGAAAGCAAGGTGCCGATTTTTGAAAATGATAAGGGTTACCTCTGAATAGTCTGATATATTTATGATATAGTAGGTTTATAATTAACAATTCCATTTGCATACACATTTTGTTTTTCGACGAATCATCAAATGAATATTAGAAACTCGAAAATGCCGTCCAGCTCATGACAATTACTTAACAAACGAATTACATATCAATGAGCTAAAACAATATCAATTCGAGAAATAAGTCAGACATTTAAAAGCTTTCTGAATAAAGTAGAAAAAACGAGGAGAAAGATCAATATGAATAAAGTGGAGTCCTGTTTGTTGTAAGAACCACTAGTTATAAACGGCTTTGAAATACAAAATACTAATATACGATGTCAGGGTCAAACATTGGAAATGTTTCATCTGTACATTTTAAAATGTATGTCATGATATCAAAATTGTTGCAATTACTAAAAACAATTACTTACACAGCATATAGCTTTTACCATACAAAGTATTTTTCTATAATAATTAAATATATCACAACGGAATTTTGCAAGGATTTCAACCATGTCTGGGTGGCTTGAGAGAACATAAACACAAATTTATCATTATCAGACATACCATAAAAACCATCATTTACAGATTGAGCTTTCTCATAAAAGACGACGTAACGTATCTGAATATATATAGAAGGCATTGTAATAAAACTTGTATTTCTGACTCAATACTACAAGGTACATAGAGGTATCAATAATAACGTTTATCTTCACACCGAATTTAAAATATAAGAGTTATACTCTACTACCTTTATTTAAAAAATAATTGTACATTATAATCATTTAGAGCTCTATATTAAGCATGCACCTGACGAAAGCAGAAGAATATTTTATCATCATTACACTCTAATCATTTAGTGTCCTATGATGGTGTGAATCTTCTCCTTTTACAGTTTTCGGTGTTTCATAAAGAGTAAAGCTCCATGCAATATGGAGACTCCCAAATACTTTCGCATTCAATTAGTATTTTTTCTTAGGTTAGTTTTATCTCTATCATACATGTAAACATGTTTCCCTCTAAATATCATTGTTTATTTATCACAAAAACATATTTATTTACATGTAATTTTATTTATTTAAAAGTTTGATTTCATTACTAAATGGTAATTTTCAAATGTATAAATAATGCATGAGTTACTTGGTTAGAATTAAGTAATACGAAAAATAATACCTCGCGTTTTTATGATTCAGAAACTTTTAAAGATTGAGTAACGATATTAAACTAATCGTACTGTATATGGTATTCATTTTAGTTCGATTGTGTCGGAATCTATAAACCTTTTGACTTTTTCTCGAATCCGTTTGGAACAGACCATTTTCAATCAATGAATGTAAAGTTTCTTGCTTAAGGACAAAACGTCTTGCCACTTTCAGGATTTTAAACGATTCTGCTAGAAATAATAATGTTACTAATCGGACGCGTTAACCACTAGGCTACGCCGCCACATCATGATGCAATTGTGCATGCGTTCATCTTCGTTCGGAACAACAATTTCATATAATCTGCTTTAACAGGCATCTCTGCAAAAGTTAGATAATTCTGTACATACTTTGAATCCCCCTACCAAACATGAATCACACATGCTCAAACGTGTATGCATACACGCATGACTGCAAAATAACTATCATTATAAGAAATGAGCAAAAAAGATAAAAGTTTTAACTGCATAATTTTATATTGATGACAAATATAGTAAATATAGTAAATAACTTTAAATACAATTGCTACAACAAGACCCGTAATATATTTCCGGGCACTGACAATAACCATTTCTATATTGACCTCCATTATAGCAGTATTGATTACAATTTTCCCTTTGGTAAGAACTGCTGTATGAATACCCGCAGTGATCTAGACATTCGTCAAAATTCAGATCACTTTTACAATATACAGTTCTAGACCTGTATCTTGTTCCACCACCACACGAATGCGAACAATCGGGCCATGATTCCCTGGAATTCCAATCACATCGACTGAACCATCCGCACGGAGACGTTTCCAATACATAAAGGAACAACAACCAAAACTGCATGCTCACGGTCAAATACTCTATTTGCCTTATGTACAATATCTGATATCTTAGATGATAAGACACTTACAACCAATCGTATTGCGGGAATGTAACATGTTTTTTTTACTTAAGACGGCAATGCATACACCTATTCATTTCATATATAAAATTTAGCTCAAAACAAGAGGAAGAGTCATGGGCGATAAAATATATATTTATGAACAAAACATGAATATTGCTACTGCAAGCTGGTAACGTCGGTTTTCATTGGATGATCGTGGCGACTAAAATTTAAGTTTTAGAAATAAATGACAGGTTATATGGACCTATATAAACGGTTGTTTGGAAATATAACCCAAGGGGAGGCTAGGCGAGGGTTATATTGTAAACAACCTTTTATACACGGTCATATCATCTGTCAGAAATATTTGTAACGAATTTATAATACAGCAAGTATTTTCTTTTAGAGACAAATGGTGTGATTTCTTGATAAATTGACAGTAGATGTGCATATAAATGCTACGGGTATCCATTTAAAGCGACATTACAAACGTGCAGCATAATAATATTAGTAAGAAAGATTGGTGACAGGTTATAAGGCCCTATATTAACAGCTATGTGTCGCTAGGAGAGGGTTACATTGCAAACAACCGTGTATTTACGGCCATATAACCTGTAAGGAATCTTTATAACGAATTTATAATACAGCAACCTTCCTTTTTAGAGGCAATAGTGTCATTTCTTCAAAAATTGTCAGCAGCCGTGTATATAACACTATATAAACGTCAAGATTATCCAATGAAAAGCGACGTTGCAACGTTGTGTGGTATTATGATATTATATACACACGGCTCCTGTCATTTCATAAAGAAATCTCATTTTAAAACTAAGGGAGAAAGTATGCTGCATTATAAATTCGTTATTAATATTTTTGACATGTTAAATGATCGTATACAATCGATTGTTTGCAATACAATCGTTTAAATAGGATCATATTATTAACATGTCAAAAATCTTTATAATTAATTATATAATTTACTGTTTGATGCTATTCGTTGCATTTTTGATCACTTTTACCAACATTTGCGATGAAACAGGCAGGTGCTGTCAATACTCTCTAAGAAGCTAAGCTGCGTTTTTATATTTGATAAACTGAGACCTTTATTTGTACAAGCAGTGCGAAAATGTAATCTACTGCGATATACACATATAATAAGTAAAGATATATAACTTGCGTATCTCTAAAATTTTATCTAGGTATGAGTAAATTGTTAGCTTATTTATAAAAAGTCATACTTATAATCTTATCACATGTTTTGATATTAAAGTCACATCTTTCTCTTTGATTCTTAATACGTATTATTTTAAAGAAATGCAGCATAAAAATACCAATAAAGGTTTATTTGAAGTAGTAGATTTACAAGCATATATCGTCAAACGAAGGATGTTACACGATTGTTATATTATATATTTTTACAAAGCGAATGAGCATCGCCATTAAATTCAGTATATTGAAGAAATATATCAGAATACTTGACAAATAATGCAATATAAAACTCTTTTTAAATAAATTTCTTTTCATCTTTACTCTTAACTCGAGTATCGTATCGGGTCAATATAATAACACCCCCACAAAAAAAATACAGGGGTCGTTCTAATTATATACTGGCAGCTGTAAGATTTAAAATGACATCAAATCAAAATAACAATAACCATTTTTAGAGCTGGTACGTAAAATGATGTTGTAAAGTAGTAAATTGTGGTATTAAAAAGGTACATGCCATTGTGGATCATCTGACATTAAAAGGACTTCCCAGTGAGCCAAAACAAGTATCGGACCTCAGCCAAAAAGAAAACAAAAACCCTTCTTAAGGTGTACTATAATTTCTTTTTAATGATAATGCATAGGATAACTGCCAAGTAAACAATCTAAGCTATTCAATGATTTTTATAAAATTACAATGTGAATAAAATGCATTTCATAAAATGTAAAATAAAGAAATTGACAAAAAGAGCTGATATATAAATATCACTGAATAATCAAAAGCCATTTCTATTTTTACCAGCTTATGAGTAAAAATGATTTGATAAATGTTAACAGCGTCAAAAAGTTA